TCGAGATAATTTGTAGCATGTGTGTTTGTTTTGGATTTAAGTTTTCCTGGAAAATTAATTTGTGAATATTAGTTTATTGTTTATTAAACTGGGTGGTTGCAAAGTGAATATCAACGTTGTAGCTTGGCATAAAAACTATACCATAATATTTTGGAATAAAAATAAAAAAAAGACCATTTTCTTTCCGTCGAGGATCTTGGTTAACTGTCCACCGGAGAATAAACTCATATCCTTTTAGTGCTCGTTCAAAAAAGCAATTTTGGGGTATTGGGGTTTACTCAATCCGTTTTTGACGTGGTTAAATTAAGCCAAAGGGAATTTGCTTTATGTAAAAATCTTTCATACAAACATTTGTTGGCATATATTGCTTTAGAATTATTCACATAAGTAACTGATTGAAACACAATTGACCTTTTTGCTATCAGAAATGTAAAGATGCATCACAGCTATAAGGGAAATATCTAAAATATTATACCTACCTGGCGTAATAGGGAACACGTCCAAACAGATCCTGCAGTATTCTTTACTTCATTAGCACAGAATTACTCAATAAAGTGGTTAAAGCAATAAACGAAACTCGGAGAGTTTGAAATTCCTTCGAGGTACGAGCTGTTGGTGCGTTTTTTTTTTCAAGTGGTTTCCCCATTAGACCTAATCCACTTTGAAATTACAATGTACAGCCAAGACAGACCACTTTCCATAATTCAACACCCTCTTGTCAGCTTGGATGGCGCCACTGCTACGCTTACCGTAAATAGTATATTAGTGTAACAAAAGGGATCCAGGACAACTATGGCATTAGGCCTCCCCGGGGCCCCATGCCGAAAGATTCGGTCAAATCTGGATTGTGGATGGTCCAGAAACTGCTAAGACTTCCTACATGTGATGATCCGATGACCTACCTGAAAAAAATATTCAAAAAGAAAAACTGGAAACAACTTGAGAAGGCGTATATATCAGCAGTCAATCCAGAAGGCTGCGTGATGATGATGATGATGATAAACACACAAGACTTGCACTGCTCCTCTTCTAGGATAATATTTAAACAACAACATTTCTGCTACAATATGGAGCATGATCACTCTCTCTTCATCTGGAAAAAATAAACAATTTCAGTACCTTAAAATTCAGTTTTGAGGTTAGAAAAATACTTTTTCAGATACACCATCGTCTGATCCATAAAACCTCTGTTGATTTGAATTCTCTGTAAATACCAACTAAGGGTTCTCAGTCATTGAAGGTGGACATTTGTACCGTATCCAGAGCGAGAGCCTGCTGATGAAATGGGCTAAACATGTTGCTGGATTGAGGGGTGCGGATGGACCAGAAAAGTGCCAAGACTTTCCACCTAGCTGAAAAGAATCAAAAACAAACCAGCTTGCAAGTGCGTAGAAAAAGAAGACATGGAAATAATTCGAGAAGGCATATCTTCAGCAGTAGTTCCAGGAGGCTGTGTGATTATGATGATACCAACCTAAATTAGACATATAAGACATACTTGCACTGTTCCTCTTCTAGAATAATCTTAACAAGACGATTTCTGCTACCATATACAACCTGATCACTCGTCTCTTCATCTAGAAAACCCCATTATGCTGCTACACTCACTTTAAATAGTAATAGTATAATGATGCAAAAAATAATGACATTCAGGGCCAATTATGGTTGTAGGCTTCCTCAGGGGCCACCAATTCTGATTCTGGTTCCTGTACCTGTCACACCTAAAAGAAAAAATACAATGTAATGCCTCTGGAATTTAGATACAAGCATGCATAGTTGTAAAAAAATATTTAATAATAATAATAATTATTATTATTTTTCTCTACGTACGCTAAAGAGACATTTCGCGGCATTAGTATACAAATAACTATTTATTTAGTACCTACCTAAACATTTAGTGTTGAAGTTAGCAAGTTACCTTTTTAGATACACCAGCGCCTGATCCATAAAATCTCTGTTAATTTAAATTCTCTGTAAATACCAATTGTTACCTAGCTGAGAAGAATCAAAGACAAACCAGATTATAAGTACCTAGAAAAGGAAGATCTCAAAATTGCTTGAGGAGGCCTATCTTCGGGAGTAGACTCAGAAGGCTGTGTGATGGTGCTGCAATAATCTTCTTCAATTCTTGATTTCCTCCATTTCTGCGACAATATAGAACCTGATCACTTGACTCTTCATCTGGAAAACACAAAAGCTCTAACTGCGATCATCGCAATAGTCGCTCCAAGCAAAACGTACCTTTAAATACCAATTAACTTTTTATTACCTAAAAATTTAGTGTTGAAGTTAGAAAATTACCTCTTCAGATACACCAGCGACTGATGCATAAAACCGCCATTGATTTGAATTCTCTGTAAATAACAACCAAGGGTTCTCAGTCATTCAAGGTGGACATTTGTGCGGTATCCAGAGCGAGAGACTGCTGACGAAATGGGTCAAACATGTTGCTAGATTACTGCTGCCAAGACTTCCTACCTAGAGTAAAAGAATCAAAGGGAAATTAGATTGCAAGTGCCTTTTCTAGGCACTCTAGACCTGGAAATAACTAGAGGAGGCTTATCTTCAGTAGTGGTTCCAGAAGGCTGTGTGATGATGATGATGATACCAACCTAAACTAGACACATAAAAAAACATACCTACTTGCACTCTTCTTCTACTGGAATGATCTAAACAAGACCATTTCTGCTACCATATAGAACCACTTGAATCTTCATCTGGAAAACACAAAAATAATTTTGCCTGGCAAAGTAGGCTGAATCCACTTGAAATCACATTGTACAGCCGATACCCAACAGCAAATCATAATTCAACCATTTCTCCCCGGCATTCGGTAGTGCCACCACTGCTACACTTACCCTATATAGTATAATCGTATAACACATGGGATCCAGGGCAACTATGGCATTAGGCTTCCCCAGGGGCCACCAATTACCAAAAAGAAATAATCAAAGGATGAATAATTGCGGTCCTGGATATCAGTGAAAAGCAACTTCAATTGTAAAAAAATGGTAATTATCTAAAGAGCGAGTTATTGAAAACATTTACAGCCAAATGCTCAAAGCCCAATATCAAACTTGCTCAACTAGAAGTAGCTTACCAAAGTTCTGATTTTTGTTCTGATATTGTTTTGAATTCAAAATGCATAGCATTGATGCTGCCATGAGGTCATTCTAAGACCATTTTTATTCTTTGATAATTTGAGCTCTCAAAAAGAACAGACAAACGGGTATGCTTAGTAAGAAAGTGCCATAGAGACATACAAATCAAGAAAAAACAATCCAAAATTAACATCATGTGTCGATCATGAAAAATTTTCCTGTATAGCCCCACCATAATGATGGCGGCCTACATTTTAAATAGGCTTTTAAAGTTAATGATCTACTATCTACTAGTGCTTTAGGTAAAATAACGTCATAGGTAGGAACCTGATTCTTCTGGATCGGTAGGTGCCGGCACTGGAAATGACATGTTGTTAGGTTTTACATGAAAGTTTTATAATTAATGATTATTAAATGAAACTTTACACAAAATTACAATTCCAGATTATTATAGGTTTTTACCAGGTATTTATTTATCATTTAAGTTGACTTAAATCAGTAGACATTTATAGCGCTTTCGACTTTTGCCTCAAAAGTCAAAAGAAAACCCGATTGATTAGAAAGCGATTCGAACCGCATTCACAAGTTCAGCTTAAAACGGAGCGTTGCTCTCAGCGAGTTTCACGTTTTCGACTAGAACGCTCTGAAATCTCGCACGTAGAGCTCTTTCTTGCTCCGTCAAATTCGATGGATCAAAGAGTTTGACCAAAACAAAAAAAAATACGTCCGATTATTGAATTCAAATGGTGTGCCCTTGCTTGGATTATAATCGATCCCTCGAGCGCTCTGGGAGCAATCCCAGTAAAGCCTAAAATGTTATTAGGCATATGTGGTGAGAGTTTCTGGCCTCAGTGGTTTCGGCTTGCTTGCTATGTGCGCAATCCGACTTACACCTTAGGTGTTCGGATATGGCTTTTTGGCTGCAGCAGAGTGATTCCGTTTCCGCTCGGTGTAAGAACCCCAGGGTTACCGACGCGTTTGCTGTTAGGAATTCGGCAGCTACCGTCGTTCAAGATCATATGTAAATAGTACATCGTCGTCGTGCAAAATATTTCCAACTTCAATATTTCAAAGTTTTTTAGTATAAGTGACTTTAGAGCGACATAAAAAGGAGTTCGTTACTGTGAAATGACATCTGTCTTTTTTTGACAATCAAATAGCCTTTAAATAGAGCAGGGTATATTGTTAGTTATCGATGCAATATTTTTTTAAATCAAAAAATATGACACCTTCGATACTATAATTCTGAATTTTTTATGATTTCAGCTGGGGAGCACGAAACTCGATCAATCGATGGAAATATGCAAATCGATGGAAATGTCACCCACAAAATTATAGGACTCGATTGTTTTGTGATCGAGTTTCGTGCTCCTCCAGCAGAGTTCTTGCATGTCCAGGTCTAATGAAGTACCTACTGCTTATCGAGCTCGTTAGATAATATTGCCCTACCCAGCCCAAACCTACATACATAAAACACCAATTTATTAACTCTCCTCAATATTTGCTTCACCCTTCACCCTATTTAATGAAAAGTTAAAAAAATCACAATCTAGTTCTAGACAACATTTATTATAATATTTATTACACAGAGAACACAGGAGAGAGTTTTATTATATTGGTACGCGGAGTTGACAAATAAAATACACAAGTTTGATGAGAAATTACACGAGGAACATTAAAATTGAACATATGAAGCAAATCAGAACAATCAATATGGTTATTTAGTATTTTATAAAGCATAACTAAAGTGTGGTGGTCCTGGCGATCCTCAAGTGAGATATAATTAAATCTGTTCAATAAGTGCTCATGAGCAAATATGGGTGATGATGATGTGTAATCCAATAAATGTTGATAAAAATAAGACTAATAATAAGTAATAATAATGATGATTAGCTGGAATCAGTCGATTTTATAATATTCACAAACGCTTGTATCATCATCTGCTAGCACATTTCGCAAAGATGGAACAATCGCCATTAGCCTATACTTATACTCATATGGTGCCCTTTTAACAATAGGATTGCCCGCCACATTCAGATACTTCAATTCTTTATTTGCTGAGAGATTGACCATTGAGCTCCATTCTGCTAATTCGTTATGGTTCACCTATAAACACAAAGTAATAATATCCCTGGGCCTAAGACATTAATTATGCACGAGATAATTTCATGACAATCGAAAGCACCTTGCTTCGGCGTCAGGGGGGGTTTATTTGAAATGTGCAATTCAAATTCGTCTCAGAAGGTCGCCATTTTTGCCGGTATTTCACTGGATCGGAGTCTTTGAAAGTTTGCAACCTGTCAGAAACAATCGCTCAGCTAAGTAACCGATTTATCTTGGAACGTCGGCATGAAAAACATGTATGAGCGATGCTTACTGTCAGAGACTCTTGTGACTGGTGAGAACAGACCTGTAGTGAAATGAATTTGAATTGCACATTTCAAATAACCCCCCCTCCCAGGCAGTCAACAACAAACATGCTTGGGAAATTTGACGTTAAATTATGAGGCATTTTTCATTGTTAGAGGGATATTCCTTCCGTTTGATTATATAAACATTGGTGTCATAGTGATTGAAAACATCTCTGAAATTATCAGTTAAATCTTGAAAATGATTGGGTGATTTGTATCACATGACAAAAAATAACCAAATTTTAATTATCTTACCTCAAGACGTTTTAAAATCTGCATATGTTCTATATTTTTAATAAGACTAATTTGATTTAGTCCCAAAAAGAAATTCTCCAATTTTTTAAGCCTTGTTAAGTTTTCTATTTCACTGATCTTATTCCTACGAAGGTCTAGGTATGTTAGGTTCTCTAGCTTGTCCAGATTTTCTATTTTGGATATTTTATTGGAGTTCAAGCATAGGCAATTTAAACCGATTAAATTGTCTAAATTTTTAATTTCAGTGATTTCATTGAAGCCCAATAATAAGGATTTTAGATAGGTAAGGCTGTTCAAATTTTTGATTTCCTAAAAATGACATCCTCATTCTCTTGTTAATACAATAATTCTCATTAGCTGCTTACCGTCAATTTGTTTTCTCTAAGATCAAGAAATGTTAAATTATTTAAATGGTCCAAATTTTGTATTTCAGTAATTTGATTAATTTGCAATTTTAAATGTTCCAAATTCAATAAACTTTCGAGTCCTTCAATTTTACGAATTTGGTTACAAGATAATTCTAAAACTCTATGGGAAAATTAATTTTTATTGGAAAACATTGGTTGGGTATAATGCTTACTCCAAATTCACAAGAGCTTCCAATCCTTCAATTTTTTTGATCTGATTGTCATAAAGCTCCAGCGTTGTTAACCTAGTCAAGGTATCCAGATTTTCAATTTTTCTGATCATATTAAAACTCAATTTAAGCGTTTCGATTTCGCGTAGGTGCGCTAAACCTTCAAGTTTGCGCACACTGCGATAAGCAAATGCTTTTCCACCAAATTCTCTCACTAGCGATAAATCACAGGGCAATGGTTCTTTTCCGGCATCAGAGAGCCCTGAAACTTCAATAAAATATAATTCTGATCATAGTAGTAGATGAAAGTCTGGACCCATGGTTGATTAATCTATACAATCGCCCGCAGTGAATAGACTTCACCATTCCGCGCGCATTATTAATATAAGAGTAGCTATTGGTTTTTCAAAAATAGGCGTAGGCAAAGCCGTGATCAACATCCAACAGCTAGTAATTAATGAGTCTAATGGTAATACAGACATATAGCATTACCTAAGATAAAAAATTAGCGGTGTGAACTTAGCTGGCAATTGCTGCCAAAGTGTCGAAGATATAGCCGAATCACCATCATGAGACGGCTCCTACATTTTAATTTTTACCTGAAATTTATTTTTAAAACCAAGAAATATGACAAGCGGGAAAGTAAAATATGAAGTCCTATTTAATTTCTACGAAAACAAAATATAACCTACAATAGTTTTTTTATTTTATTTACAAGTGTAGGTAGGTACGTTTTACCCTATTATGGCTGCACCATCTGGGATATCTAGAAATCTAAATATGGTTGAGAGGTAGAATTATAGGTATTGGTTGTACCTCTAGGTTGCACAAAAATCATCAAGCAACAAAAGTTTTGCAGTTTTAGCTCGACTAAAAATGAAATGCCCTATATTTGATTCTTATATTCTTGAAAAGCACAATTTTCCGATTCCAAAAATACATAGTTTGTCTATTATTTGGTGTCAAAAAATCTTACCTCAAATCTTACTTGCAGCTGTCACCTTGACAGGTAGAATGATTCAGAAAATCATTCAGTAGGATAGTATTTTTACAATTTTTATAGCCAAAAATATTGGAGACGGCTCAACCAAATAATAAACAAATTATATATTTTTGGAATCGAAAAATTGTGCTCTTCAAGTATATAGAACTACAGTGGCTAAATAAACCTTTACAAACAGTGGCCACAATAGAGGTCCCGCTGCCATTTTGTGCTCACCCTTCGGTAAATTTGAATATGAATTAATAGGATCAAATCATACGTTCTTTTCAATTTTTCACGATGAATGTCCAATCAAATCCTATATAGAGCACAAAATGGCGACGATTTCCATATGAATATATAGGCTTTTAAAGAACCAATCAAAAATAAGACAGCAATTGTCGCCACTGTGGATTAATAGAGTCACTGTATATAGAATCAAAGTCCATTTAAATTCAGTCAAATTGTTTTAAACCAATTCGAAATTCCCCGCATAGATGGATTTGGTGCTGCCATTAGCTCCTTCTACCACAATTTGTTATTAGATAGTTTTATTCACAAAAGCAAAAGACAAAAGGGTATACCTAGTGAGCAAGGGCCAGACAAACATTCCAAGAAATCAAAAGAAAATATTCCAAAATTAACAAGACACATGGAAAAAAATTCTTACATAGAATATATGTATGTATAGAACCACCATTGTTATAATGGCTTAAATTTTAAATGTCCTTTTGAATGATCTACTAGTGGTTTAAATAAAATAACGTCATACCTGATTCTTCTGGATCATTGGGTGCCCGTAGTGGTGAATAAGACATGTTAGAAGGTTTTATATGAAAACGTTTTATGAATTAATGATTATTAAATCAAACTCCGCCCAAAAACACAATTCCAGATTATTACAGATCGTCTTTCAACAAGTTTGTGAGTTGAGTTCAATCAAATGAGTAATAGTATGACGAAGTTCTTATGTGGTGGGAGTTATGGCCTCGACTAACCGTACGCACTCTGTTCGGATATGGCTTTTCTGTTTGGCTACAGCAGAGTGATTCCGTTTTCGCTCCGAGCGAGCAGCCAGGGTACGACTGCGACTCTGGTACACTCGCTATAGAACTTGCTGTCTTTTACTCTCACATGTAAATCAATGGAGAGAGGAAGCCAATAGAGATAGGGATATTGATCGCTATTCGTAACAGAGGCCCCAGAGTAGAGCTTATCGATATTCATAGCTATTATTATTATAAGGTATTATTAATACGAAATATTATCAAAACGTCCACTTGTTTTTCGTATCGATATTGATATAAGAAAATATCGATGCGATATTTTTGATTTTTTCGAAATTCGCTTAAGGCCGTTTTACAGCTTGCAAGAAAACTTGAATGCAATTTTTTGCATGCAAAAAAATTGCATTCAAGATTTCTTGCATTTCGTTTTACACCTTGCAATTTGAGTTGTTTCCTTCTATAACCTTAACCATACTTTTTTGTTTTTAATTTTATGTTGTCGATGTTCACATTTTACAAACATGAAAAAACTTATTATAAGTCGATATAAAAAAAAGAAAGCAATAGCAACCACTCTAAGCATCATAATTGCTAAAAATTCCCCAGCTTGCGCGAAAACTTTTAAGAAAAATGGCACCAAACCGATTGCATGCAATGCCATTCAAGTTTCAAGAATCTCGCAGAAAACAACCAGCTGACTCACTTCTGCGCATGCCCTCGTTCAAGTTTCTTGCATATTGCAGATAGAATTGCAAGCTGTAAAACTGCCTTCAATGATGTCAATAATGACAGTAATGACATGAGCTCTGACATTGACCAAAAACATTGACATTTGCGCTTAACGAATGTTCGATGATGGTTTTAATAGTTGTATTCCTTTCACACCTAGGAGGAGCTCCGGAACAGCTTTGGGGCGTTACGCGCTTATTCCTTTCGAAAAATGTTTGTTGCACCTGAAGTGCTCAAGTCCGAACTAAACCATTTAAATGCACGTAAGCCAGCGCATCTGTTCCTTCCAAATCGGGGTCGACTAACACCGGAGCGAGTAGCTCTAGTGTTCTAAAATCTTGAAAGGAATAGGTACAACTAATTTTGCAAGATTCTCATCGATACATATCGATATGACAAATTCGAATCAATAATCATCGGGAGCTTATCGATGTTTATATCCATATACCGTATCGATAAGCCATCCTTCAGTTTTGCCACGTTTTGCCTTTGTGTTGATATTATAAAAGAGAAATGATTATTTTCCACACAAAATATAGGAAAATGGAAATTGATTTTCATATAATTTGTTCGTTAGGTTTCATTTTATTAAGTACTGAACCTCTGTTTAATCGGAGTAGGTATATTTATAAAAATTCAGTAAAATTATCATGGCTTTATTTTGGTGTATTTGTAGTATGTACATTTTCCTCATCACGAGAAATCGACAAAGAATTTGCATAAAAGAATTGATTGATGAAGAAGCATTTTTGTCCCGCAAGACGAATGCCGAGAGATATGGTAACAAAAAACCCACTCTTCTTCTTAATTTTTTACACACATAATTGATCTGATCACCAAAAAGTACGCTGAGTATCTAAGCTCACTCCACAAACAGTAACAAATTTTATTGAACAAATTGACTTTATAAAACTTTACTCATCGAAATGTACACAACAAATATCGTATTTAAATTAAACTCAAACCTATTACTACGCGCTAGTTATATTCGACATCGCACTCCGGATCTATCTAGAAAAATATTTATATCGAATAGGATAGAATTCCGAGAAAAGACGCGCTCCCAGACGTAAACAACTAAATTCGTCGATCTTTTACTTGCGGCAAGACACGTCTGTGTCTTGAAAATTCCATATGCGTGTGGATAACCCAACATAGAGTTGCATTTAGCCTCCTAAAAGCTACGTAGCTTTTTTCTTCAGTAAGTTTACGCAACGCTACTATCTCAGAAAAATCCTCTAACAAATCATCTGTAGTATGTACAAAGTCCACGAAAACTTCTGAGTTCCAGTATCCACTTTTAAACTCAAAAGTAAAAAACCAATTTGATTCTTTCTTTAGTACTGAAGAGGAGTGCCGAGATGTTTAGTATGTCGTTATGGTTGATTTATTTCCTTTCTTTTCTTGTTGTTCTCTAGCTTTATATTTCGACAGGGGATAAGAATCGCTAAAAATTTCAGCTTTCTATCTCTTATAGAAAAAAAGTTATGACCTTTCAAAGTTTTCCAAAATCTGAATCATAAGGTAGCTTCTTACTAAAACGATGAAATTTCAATTTTTTTTGTTGTTGAAATTTTGTGTCCTAATTGTCCTTTGGGATCCCCCAAATTCCATACACTAAATTATTCTTAGATTTGGAGCCAGATTCTATGAAAAAAGGCACTCAGAAAAATTGAAAAATTGATATCTCACCCCAAATTGTTCAACACAATTTTATTTCTGGAACTAGAAGTCCAAATAAGCTGAAATTTACAGGGATTGTAGTCCCCTACTGGAATAAGAATTGCTGGAAATTTCAGCTTTCTATCTTTAATAGAAAAAAAGTTATGATCTTTCAAAGTTTTCCAAATTCCAAATCATAAGGCCTACTAAAACGATGAAATATCAAAATCTTTTTTGTTAAGATTTTGTGTCCTAATGGTACTTTGGGATTCCCCAAACTCCATAAACGAAATTATTCTGAGATTTGGAGCCAGGTTCTATAAAAAAAGGTACTCAGAAAAATTGAAAAATTGATTAATCTCCCCAAATTGCTTAACGCGATTTTATTTCTGAAACTATAAGTCCAAATGAGCTGACATTTTCAGGGTGTGTAGTCCTCTACTGGAATAGGAATCGCTGGAAATTTCAGCTTTCTATCTTCAATAGAAAAGAAGTTATGAATTTTCAAAGTTTTCCAAAATCTAAATCATAAGGTAGCTAACTTCTTACTAAAACGATGAAATTTCAATTTTTTTTTGTTGAGATTTTGTCTCCTAAAGGACATTTGGGATTCCCCAAACTCCATATACTAAATTATTCTAAGATTTGAAGCGAAAATCTATGAAAAAAGGCACAGAAAAATTCAAAAATTGATAAATCATCCCAAATTGCTTAACACGATTTTATTTCTTATAACTATAGTCCAAATGAGCTGAAATTTTCAGGGATTGTACATACTGTCGAATGCCAAGCCATGGTGACTTATTATGTCCATACCTCCACCATAGTCACTGTATGCAGAATAACTTTCCTTGGAAGTGGCTTCAAATTGAACTTTTTGGCATAGTGGAACTGCTCACAGTCTTTCCTAGCATCTTGATAGATATGATTCTAGATTCTAGGAGCTTCACTTCAGTTTACTAGCCAACACACCCTTCTCTGTGTTGACTAATTGTGTTTTTATTTGACGGCTAAGAGTTAGCAGAAGCAGAACGAGATCTTAGCCGTATTCTACAGGCAATTAGGCATTCCAACGACCTGTCAAAACTATTCCAAAATGGCGACCGGGGCGGAAGTTGCTTATTCCGTATATGACAGTACAGAATTTGAAGCTTTTTAAAGTGCATTGTGTGGTTGTTTTGTGACTAAACTCTATTTATTTTTTTATTTTATTGACTTCATAAGGCTTTTTTCTAATTAAAAATGCCACAAAGGTGTCTTGTAGTTTATTTTAGAAGGCGTTCAACAAGGATGATGTCAGGTTGTTTTTAGTGCCCAACCTTTCAAATTTTTCCAATTGAAACGTAGAAATTATTCAGTACCACTGTTCCTGCATCTAAAATAAAGCCATACTGGAAATACTTATAAGAATCTGAGCTTTTGTAGGCCTTCATTTGCTCATTGCTGCAAAAACTAGTAGACCCTGAGATAGGGCCTGTTTAGTGGAGTAATTTTTTTTTTGTCTGGCATTTTGAGGGATGAATGTGGCTAGTTAGCTGATGAGAAGAATATAGGTGGTTTTAATGCCTCTGCAAATTTTCGAACGGGAGGCAGGCATTAAAATCACTCATATTCTCATCAGCTTAGTAGCCACATTCAGTCCTCAAAATGCCAGACAAAAAAAAATGACTCCACTAAACAGCCCCTATCTCACAGTCTATAGGTCAAAATGTAAACAAATGTCAAATAGACATTTTTTCAAACTTATCGTTCGCCCACATCCCGATTTTCCTGCATTTAAGTCTTTAAGTATTCACTCTGCATTTCGAAAAGTATATTATAATAAAGTAAACTGTAATTAGCTTGAAAATATTCCAAATTAATTCAAGATAAACAAACAAACGTCAAATTTGCCACAGTCGCCATATTGAAACATCACGTGGTTTGGAGAGCCTAATTGCCGCAATTAATTCAGCATGACATATGCATTACATTTAAGTTAAGTTTTATTTTATTGTCACTTGGTAAAGTGGTTATGGAAATTTCTACCTTAAATTTGTGTTTACTGGGAAATTTTTCACCAACTGATGTTGTCATCTCCAAATCTGTATCGGCAGCTGAATCACGACTCTCGCAATTCGAGCGAAGCTTAATGATGAAAGCTTTAAGGTCCGTGACCGTCATTGAATGGCGAGGTTGAATTAGGATCGAATCCTGCAAATAAATTTTTCATTTACTTTACTTGCTTGTAGGAATCAGGAAGGCTCGCAAAGTGTTGAGTTTAAATAAAAATTTCCTTGGAAAAAATTCTCGAAATTATCTTATTTCGTCGCTTCTTCTATAGTTCAATTAGGTTGTGCAATTTAATCATCGCCTTGTCTGGTTAGCGTCAGCAGAAACGCGTTCCGACTCAAGTAGCGCTTAGATTAAAATGCTTGTCA